AATACATAAAATATTCCTCCACTGTAACCTACACAAAAATTTATTTCACCTTTTGCATTTTGTTTTCAAAACAGTGAATCTCTTCTTGTCTGGGAAAATTCAAAGTGCCGTCCCTTCATTAGGTAAGATAAAACTGTCCTTCCTACAAGTCCTGTAGTTTCCTTTTCTTGCTTGATTGTTGAACAGTCATTTCCAGTCTTCCCCAAGCTAGTGCTCTCTTATTGGGCTGGGTATATGCCAGCCTGATGGAATTTATAGTGAACACATTTGGGGAATTCTGTCGTAAGTGGGGCTGTAGCAAAGCATGATGCTATGCCAAATGTGTCTTTAAAAAAATTGGTAAATTATGTATTGATTTTTATATCACGGAGAAACGTCAGACATTGTCCCCTTAACCCGAGCTAAGCCTAGACTGATGCATTAGTCTCTTAGATATTTAACAGCCCATGTTTGGCAACCCTATCAGGCAGTGAATTGCTGTCCCAATGGGTTGTATATGACAGATGGTCTGGATTTGGCTTCATAATCTATTACAGCTTGTGACATGTCACATGTTTGAAACTTTTCCCCCCTTCATAGTTCACGAATAAAAGCAGCTGAAATTAAAAACTGGTCAATAAATACTACAGTGTTCAAAAGGCATGGGTAAACTTTCTAACTTGGGGGCTGCATGGTGGTCAAGAGTAGAGTGGGCAGGCCGAGAGGGAGGGGCTTCTCCTTATGCCCCCTCCCTGCCCTCCCCGTCTCTCCCTGCCCTCCCCGTCTCTCCCTCTTCTCTTCTCGAGGGAGAAAGTGAAGGAAAGTCAGGAAATGTTTGGATCCCAAAAGGGTTGGTCTTGGTCAGGATGAGATGATGGACTGGAGAGAAAAATCTATCCATTAGACCCTGTATTGCCTACTCCTGATATAGAATCCTAGAGTTGGAAGAGACCTCCAAGGGCCATCCAGTCCAACCCCCTGCCATGCAAGAAGGCACAATCAAAACATTCCCAGTAGACCGCCTCTGCAGAAAAGCCTCCAGAGAAGCAGAATCCACCACACTCCCAGGCAATCCATGCCCCTCTCGAGGAAGTTCTTCCTAATCTTTTTAGTTGAATCTCTTTCCCTGCCATTTGAAACCCTTTCACCCTTGTGTCTGGGTCTCTAGGACAGCAGAAAATCAGTTTTCCCTCCCCCCTCAATGGGACACCTTTTTAAAGTCTTGAAACATGGTTCTTATGTTCCCTCTCAACCTCCTCTTATACCAGCTAAACATCCCCTAGAAGGAAAGGATGAAGGAAAAAGAGAAGGAAGGAAGGGAGAAAGAAAGGGTGGAAGAGAAGGATGGAAGGAAGAAAAGGTGGAAGAGAATGGGAGGGAGGAAAAAAGAAGGAAGAAAAGACAAAAAGGAAGGAAGGAAGGAGAAAAGGGAGAGAGGGAAGGAAGGACCAAAGGGTGGAAGGGAAGGATGAAAGGAAGGAAGGAAAGGAGGGGGAAAGAGGGAAGGAGGGAAGGATGGAAGGAATGAGAAAGAGGGAGAGAGGGAAGGAGAGATATGACAATAAGTAGAGAAGGCAAGGAAGTTGAAAAGTAACTTGCTCAAACTCATGGATTGAGGGATGGAGAGAAGGAAGATGGAAACAAAGAGCTAAGGAATGAAGGACAGAGGTAAATGAAGGACGGACAAAGTGTGAAAGGAAGGAAAGGAAGGAGGGGGAAAGCAAAGAGGGAAGGAAGGATGGAAGAGAAAGAGGGAAGAGGGAAGGAGAGAGGAAAGAGGAAAGAAGTAAGGACCAAAGGGTGGAAGGGAAGGATGAAGGAGGAAGGAAGAAGGAGGAAGGAGAAAGGAAGGAAGGGAAGGAGAGAGGAAAGAGGGAAAGAAGGAAGGACCAAAGGGTGGAAGGGAAGGAGGGAGGAAAGAAAGAGGGAAGGAGGAAACAGTGGAAGGATGAAAGAAAGGAAGGGAAGGCAGGAGGAAGGAGGGAAGGATGAAAGTGGAAGGGAAGGAAAGATGAAAGTAGAAAGCGAGAGGGAAGAAGGAAGGAAAGAGAGAAGGAAGGAAGGATAGGATGGAGAGGGCCTGAGAAAAGAGTCCAGGGGGCCTCATCTGGCCCTGGATCTGGGTTTGCCCATACCCGCTTTAGAACAAGAAGGATGACAGCTTTGGAAAACATTATCTTAGGACCCTTCCACAATGCCCTTTATCTCAGGATCTGATCTCAGATCATCTGACTTAAATTGGAAGTATGAGTCCCCACTGCTAGATAACCTGGAATAAACAGATAATCTGGGATCAGATCCTGGGATATAGGGGCAGTGTGGAAGAGCCCCCAAGTGTCTTATTTTGTGTCTGATTTTCTCCTGGTTGTTAGTAAGTAGATCTGAGGGTCTTCCATTTTCTCAGGGCAGAGTGCTGTAAAGTCTTTATCATGTTCTTTTGGCAGGCTCATTTAGAGCTATTGATCCTTTCCTATAAGATGTTTGTTGAACTGCATGTAACCCAGAAAACCAGGTAGTTTAGTGAAGGGGCAGAAGGGGTGGAAAAGGGCAATGGAAGGTAACACTGCCAAGAGCTGTCGTGAAGAATGCATTTAACTTTTGACACTTAGCATTTCTGTTGTTTCCTGCAGCTGCTTGCAGCGGGAAACTAGAGCAGCACACAGAACGCCGTGGGGTGATTTACAGCCCTTCTTGGCCCCTGAACTACCCTCCAGCCACCAACTGCAGCTGGTACATCCAAGGCGATCGTGGAGATGTGATTACTATTAGGTAGGATGAATCTTTGGGGGGAATTTGATTTGTTGGTTGCATCATTTTAGCTTGAGTGTGGTAGGCGAACTTTTATTGGTGTATGAAAAAACTTTATTCTGTGCCTCCCTCAAAGAAATAAGAATTTGTTTAGACTTCACAAAGCTTCTGTTAAATAGAATGTGCTCATAGATGGCAACAGAGTTGAAGTCAATCAGAGGACTGCTTCACCTGTAAATAGGGATTGGTTTTCATGGATTTGTCTTCTTCCCCTTTCCTCCTCCCTTCCTATAATGGTTTGCATGAAAAATATATTTTACACCTGGGGAGTGTAAGAGGTCTAAAATAAACATTGTAATAATAAAAAAATACCATATATACTCAAGTATAAACCAAGTTTTTCAGGCTGAAAAAGCCCCCCTCGACCTCTACTTGAGTCAAGGTTATTTATTATTTTACTCTGCTATTATAATTTTTTTATTACATGTATTATTTTACTCTGTTGTTGTTGTTGTTGTTGTTGTTATTATTATTATTATTACATTTGTTATTTATTACATGTATTATTTTACTCTATTATTATTACATTTATTATTTTTCTCTATGATTATAGTTTTTATATTTATTATTTTATTCTATTTATTATATTACATTTATTATTTTCTCTATTACTGTTATTATTACATTTATTATTTTACTCTATTTATCATTTTACTCTATTATTATTTTATTACATGTATTGTTTTATTCTCTTTATTGTTGTAATTGTTACATTATTATTTTACTCTTATTATTATTTCATTTATTACTTTATTACTACTGTTATTATTACATTTCCATTATTTTACTCTATTATTATTTTCAGAAGATTAGAGAGAAATGAAGACTGTTTTAAAATGATAGGCAGCACAAGTAAACATCCCAACTCAATGTATTGATGAAGGCTTTCATGGCTGGAATCATTGGGTTGCTGTGAGTTTTCCAGGCTGTATGGCCATGTTCCAGAAGCATTTCTTCCACATCTATGGCAGGCATCTTCAGAGCGGAATTATAGACAGGAAACAACCAGGGCTAGCTAACAAGTCCTATCAAAGGATTCCTCCAGGCAGGAAGCAGCCAGGCTTTGAAGCTGCAAGGCTATTACATGCCAGTTGCAAGAGTTCTTTCTCCCACCCTGGACATTCCACAGATACATCACTTGCCTAGTTTCCAACAGACCTCACAACCTCTGAGGATACCTGCCGTAGATGTGGGCGAAATATCAGGAGAGAATGCTTCTGGAACATGGCCATACTGCCTGGAAAACTCACAGTAACCCAATTCCAACTCAGTGCGTCCTGAGTGTCTTTCACAACGAGAGATTACCTGATTTGCCTTGGATCCCTTTCCCTGCTGCCTTCAGAAGAAGGCACGGGGCCTTTCTCATTTAGGCCCATTGTGCCGAGCGTAATGCCAATAACTGGGCTGGGAATGCAACCAAGGCCGCCTGACTTCCCACACTCTTGTTCTAAACCATTAAGCCAAAGTTTTTTAATGAGCTAATTAAGACTTCAGCTGTGTTCACAGTCTGCCTTCAGTGAGAGAAAGTAACAAAACAGCAGTGACTTTTCCTTTAATTGGTTGATACAGTTGCTATATTGATGACTTTCATAACGATTTTCCCTGGACTTCTATTGTATTTGCTGGTGAAGTTAGGTTTCCAGCTTCTGCTGGTTCTCAAATATTTGATTAAGGGCTGAAATCTTTCGAATGATTAATCAAAGGAATTTTGTTGATTAATTGGGAGAGGGTTTTTTTAAAAAGTGGCTAAGGGCACCCTTTGTTTTCTATACCCTTTTGAGTCTGGAACAGGAGAGATAACATTAAATCTGGCCTCTCTTTCCAGAGATAGCAGCTCTGAGGTTAATGTTAGGGAGGTCTTCCAGAGGTCAACTTTAATCAAAGTACTGTATTGAGTAGTAGAAACTTTAGTAAATGTTTCCTTTTTTTCTTCCCAGGAACAGAGTGCTAACATTATACCACTAGTACTAAAAGGAAAGCCCAGCAGAAATCCCTTGCACATTTCAGTGCAGCTTGAAAACAATAATACAAATACAAATACAGGAGCTTTGATAGGAGTCGGGTGCTAAATCAGTTCTGTATTTTGGCCTTATCTTTGAAGGGCTTTCTATTCTATCCTTGCAGAAGGTCCAGCTCCTTGAATGACTCATTTAAGTTTTCGAACTAAAAACTGGAACAGTTTGATGACGACTAACATCAGGGCCAAATGCTCCATGGAATAATGGTGAACGTACTTGATCAGTGAAGGATGTTGGGCGAGTGGGCTTATTAACAAAAGAGTCTCCACATAAACATATAGCAGCAGCGTGACCCAACACCAGTAGCCCAAAGTAATAAAAAGAACAAAAACACACAAACCAATGTTTTATCTTCCTTAGGAGGCTTATCTTTGTAGTAAAATAATATGGTTGCACTATTTACAAGAACAAAGTTTCCACAACACAAATAAAGTCCTTTCTACTTCCTTCTTTGCTTCCACGCTGGGCTTCTTTCTCATGCAGATAAACAGCTTTGCTTTCAGAGCCTCCTCTCGCACTGAAGTTAACGGGAACTACACAGAGAAGCTTTTTACACACAGCAGCCTTCACACTGCAGCTTTACACACGATGACCTTTAACCTGAGGCTTTTCACACCAAGCTTTCTCATACTGAGGCCTACTGACACTGAGGCCTACCTCATACTGAGGTCTTTCTCCTACTGAGGGCTCTCTCAGACTTCCATCATCCTTTGGCTGTGGGGAAGAAAGGCTTGGAGGCCAACCATCTCAAAAACTAGAGCCGACAGGGGCAAACCAGTGCCATTTTTGGCATTGGTGGGTGAAATATAGCCAGAAACAAGTCTAACATTTGAGGCACCAAAATGTGTATTATATCTTAGCTGGCTAAATTATACTGAAAAGAGCATAACGGTAAGTTCCCAAATGAGGCTCTATTGGAAAAAGTAGAATGGCACTCGATACAGTGGTTCAATAAAGCTTTATGAGTTTCTTATATGTAATGAGACAGAAAATATAGAAGCGCTAATGATGTGCTTACCGTTGGGTGAGTGGATTTATTAACAAAAGACCCTCATAAATGTACAGCAGAGTAACCTAGCAGCAGCATCGTGACCCAACACCAGTAGTACAAAGTGATAAAAAGAACAAAAATGCAGAGACCAATGTTATTTCTTCCATAGGAGGTTTTTCTTTATAGCAAAATAATATGGTTGCACTATTTACAAGAACAAGGTTTCCATAACACAAATAAAGTCATTTATACTTCCTTCTTTGCTTCCATGCTGGGCTTCTTTCTTATGCAGACAAACATAGTTGCTCTCACAGAGCATCCTCTCACACTTATTTATTTCGTATCAAAACATTGCATAAATTAGTATAAAACCGATAAAATTAGAAGGAGCTCAGGTGGCTAAATATCTTTTGACCAAAAATGGGTAACAGCAATGGCATTGTCTGTAGCCTCCAACAATTCTTCCTCTGTACGTGAGGCAGGGCATAGTGGACAAGCATACAGATGTGGAGTTGTTTGTTCTGCTCCATAGTCACAGTCACGCTCTCACACTGAAATTACACAGGAGCTTCACATAGTAGCTTTTCACACAGCTTCTCTCACACACAGATTTACCTCACACTCCTCAGGATGACACTAGATTTGGCCCACTAACTCTTAACAAGCTTCGGCCTACTCACTCTCTTCAGGACGACAGTAGCTTTGGCTCACTGACTCTTAACAGGTTTTGGCCTACTCACTCTTTCAGTGCTTGACTCACTCTTTTGTAATCAAAAATACCCAGTTAATTTTTAATATTTCTGACAAAACATTTAACTGGTGATGCTCCACATTCCCTGAATATAGTAGTGAAGAAAAATAAATAAACTCATGTTGGGAAGGTGAACTGAGGCGCTTCTACTCAGAGGTCACCTCCCGATCTCCTGGGGCACAAGCTGTTGGGCAAGTGGGTTTATTAACAAAAGACCCTCCTCATAAATGCACAGCAGAGTAACTTATCAGCACCAGTAGCCCAAAGTGACAAAAGAACAAGAATACACAGACCAATGTTATCTCCTCCATAGGAGGCTTTTCTTTGTAGTAAAATAATATTACACATTTACAACAACAGACTTTCCATAACATAAGTAAACAAATACATAGCAACCTTCACACTGGAGGTTTTTCACATGAGGCTTTACACACAAGGCCTTTGACCTGGAGCTTTTCTCTGAAGCTTCTCACACCAGGCTTTCCTCATACTGTGAGGCTTACCTCACAGAGAAGCCTCATCACACAGACTGAGGCATTCTGTCACTGAAGCAAACAAACACTAACAAGTTTTGGGCTCCCCTCAGAGTGACGCTAGCTTTGGCCCACTAACTCTAACAGGCTTCAGCCTACTAACTCTTTCAGTACTTGACTCACATTTTTGTAATCAAAAATACCCAGTTAATTTTTAATATTTCTGATATAGAAGTGACCAGCACTGTGTTCTTTCTGCAGTAATCTGTCTTTAAGATGACTTTGAAATCCTAGTGATGTGCTTTCTGCCTTTGAGATCTGAACTGAATCTACTTTCCCTGTAATAACTACATTTTTTATTAAGCATGTATCTCTGAAGTTAAGTCGCACTCTTTTCTCACATATACACACACACCTCTGTTTCTTTTTCTTGGCAGTTTTAAGAACTTTGACTTGGAGGAGTCCCCCAAATGCTCGGCCGACTGGCTGATGATCGGACCATCTTCCAAGCGGGAGGAATACCGGGTCTGCGGCTCCTTCATCCCTCCTTCCTTCATTTCTGCAAGGGATCACATCTGGATATTTTTCCATTCAGATTCATCAAGTTCGGGGCAGGCGCAGGGATTTCGCCTTTCTTACATTCGAGGTAGGTAAAAACTGCCTCCAGCTTGAATTAATATTTATTTATTTATTTATTTAATACACTTATATACCGCTAATATCTCAGCCGGAACTTGTATACCGCTAATATCTCAGCCTAAGTCAGCGACTCATTGCGGTTTACAACAATTAAAAACAATATACAATTTAAAACAACAACACATAGACAATATAAATTATTGGGCCACCAATAATAATACCATGTATCTCGTCACTAAAATCACAGTCCAGAATTCGTCATCCATAATTAACCAGTCCTTAGTCCATAGATTCGGTCGTGACAGCTAATTAAATGCTTGTTGACATAACCATGTTTTTAATCTCTTCCGGAAGACCATCAGCGAAGAAGCTGATCTTATCTCTATAGGGAGGGTATTCCAAAGCCGCGGGGCCACCACAGAAAAGGCCCTATCTCTCGTTCCCGCCAACCGCACATGTGAAGCAGGCGGGATAGAGAGAAGGGCCTCTCCCGAAGATCTTAGGGTCCTGGTGGGCTGATAGGCCGAGATACGTTCGGATAGATATGTTGGGCCAGAACCGTTTAGGGCTTTAAAGGCCAATGCCAGCACTTTGAATTGGGTCCGGTAGCATATCGGCAGCCAGTGGAGCTGGTAGCAGAGGAGTTGTGTGCTCCCTGCGCCCCGCTCCTGTTAGTATCATGGCTGCCGCCCGTTGGACTAATTGGAGCTTCCGGACTGTCTTCAAAGGCAACCCCACGTAGAGAGCGTTGCAGTAATCAAGGCGGGATGTAACCAGAGCGTGGACTACCATGGCTAAGTCAGACTTCCCAAGGTACGGTCGCAGTTGGCGCACAAGTTTTAACTGTGCGAAAGCTCCCCTGGTCACCGCCGAAACCTGGGGTTCCAGGCTCAGCGATGAGTCCAGGATCACACCCAAACTGCGAACCTGCGTCTTCAGGGGGAGTGCGACCCCGTCTAACACAGGCTGTAACCCTATACCCTGTTCGGCCTTACGACTAACCAGGAGTACCTCTGTCTTGTCTGGATTCAATTTCAATTTGTTCGCCCCCATCCAGACCGTCACAGCGGCCAAGCACCGGTTCAGGACCTCGACAGCCTCCTTAGTAGCAGGTGGAAAGGAGTGACAGAGCTGGACATCATCTGCGTACAGATGACATCTCACTCCGAAACTCCGGATGATCTCGCCCAGCGGCTTCATGTAGATGTTAAACAACATGGTTGAGACAGCTATTGAACCTCGGGCGCAACACCCAGCACAAATGAAGCCAAATACAGTCCACCCACAATCTCCCACGTAACACCATCTGATAAGACCAAACCGACCCTCGAAGGCCGAATGAGTGGAGCACTGCCAAAACCCCCCAAGCCTGACATCCAAAACCCCATACCACGCCAGAGCGGCGTCCCAGAAGCGACTACCGAATGCGTATCGACATTGGGCTATCGAAGAGCCGCTGACTTAAACCATGGTCGACGGTATCGAAGGCCGCTGAGAGGTCGAGCAGCACCAACAGGGACACACTCCCCCTGTCGAGCTCCCGACGCAGATCATCCACTAAGGCGACCAAAGCTGTCTCGGTACCATGCCCCGGCCTAAAGCCAGACTGTGCCGGATCCAGATAATCCGTGTCTACCAAGAATGCCTGGAGTTGTGAGGCCACCACACGTTCCATGACTTTGCCCAAAAAGGGGAGATTGGAAACAGGCCGATAGTTGACGAATTGAGTGGGGTCCAGTGATGGTTTTTTCAACAGCGGTTTTATCACAGCTTGCTTTAAGCTGGCTGGAATTTTGCCCTCCCGAAGGGAGGCATTAACCACCACCTTCACCCACTCGGCCAATCCCCCTCTGGCCTCCTTCAGAAGCCAGGATGGGCAGGGGCAGCGCTATTCTATAGCGATGACGCCATTAGTGGTACTGCTACTCTATTACATCAATCCAGCTCACGCTTTCGCACACTCCCCATCCTAACGGATTCGACTAATGAGATGCAAATGAATCAACTCCATCAATAACCAGCACAAGACCCAAGATGGTATTCGTGTTATCATCCACCTCTAGCATCACTGCCTTAATTATCGTGCTATCCAGATCCAGACGACGGAATCGAAAGCGACTTTTGCTCTGCGAGTAGAACTCGCCAGCCAAAAGCTTCGCCCCAGCCAGCACGCCGTGCCTGAAAATCACATCAGGGCCCACCCATATTCGCTGAATGGCATGCTCCCGGTTTAATAAAGACCTCTGACAACATCAGGAACAGTCTCTAGCGCGACGGCTTCTAACTCCTTAGACAGACAACATCGCAATAGTGGCGACAAAGAAGTATTTCTTTGACGCTAGTTTTACACTATTGCCGGACCCCTTTTATACTTGCAGAGGAATAATGCCCTCAAAACAATCGCAGACACAACGTGTTCGCATATTAGGCCCACTCTTGCCTACGGGATGCTGCAACTAGCCGAACGCCACACAGCCGCGATAATCTAAAGGCTATCCCGTTTTTTTTCACAATCTTCCGTCTCAGTCTTTTCCAGCTGCTATGCCCAGCTCCTCACCCGGTGAAACAGTGAAACAAGGTTGGAGTGCGTTTAGCTCGGCTACTTGAGAGGGGACGTTCTGGAGTGATCGTGTCTATTGCCCTAGTCATCTCCCCATTCCAGAGAGCGACCAGAGCATCAACAGGATCACCAACCGAGGTGGCGGGAAATTCCCCAAGAGCCGTCAGGAATCCATCCGGATCCATAAGCCTCCTGGGGCGGACCAATTTAATGGGTCCTCCACCTCTGCGGAGGTTAGGGGGTGCAGTGAGTCTAAAGCTGACCAGGTGGTGGTCGGTCCATGGCAACGGAGAGATGGATAACTCCTCAACACCGCCACCTTCCTCCCATCCCTGACAGAAAACCAAATCCAATGTATGTCCAGCACTGTGGGTGGGGCCAGATACTTGTTGGGACAGCCCCATGGTTGCCATGGTAGACATGAAGTCCTGAGCCGCTCCCGATGAGGCGGACTCGGCGTGGATATTGAAGTCTCCCAGCACAAGCAGCCGTTGGGACTCCAACACCAGGTCCGAGACCACCCCTGCTAGCTCAGTCAGGGAGTCTGTAGTGCAGCGAGGTGGACGGTACACTAACAGAATCCCTAATCTGTCCCGGTCACCCACCCTCAGGTGGACGCATTCAAATTTTGTTGACTGCGGGATGAGGGCCACCCACACCCTCGGTGCACGCATTCCAAAATTTGCATTCTTTGACTGCAGGGATAGGGACACGGCTCTGCGTCAGAAGAAACAGACAGAATCTCTAAATATAAGACCACATGCCCCCCAACCACGCCTCCCCGCCCTCCGGATCTCGGTTGGTGCTGCACAGAGAAACCTGGTGGACAAAGCTGGGTTAAATTTACACCTCCCGCTTCGTCCAACCAGGTCTCTGTGATGCACGCCAGATCTGCCCGTTCATCTTGGATTAAATCCTGGATGAACGATGTTTTACCGTTGACAGATCTGGCGTTCAACAGCACCACTTTCAACTCGGAGGGACCGCCATCTTGGTTACACCGACTTACCATATCGGGAGATCGATTTGGAATTACTAATGTTGTTACACGTTCTACGCCTTCCTAAGCGCGAACTATAACCTACTAAAGTGCCATACCTCCTTTTTACCGTCTTGGTTACACCGACTTACCATATCAGGAGACCGATTTGGAATTACTAATGGCCACGTTCCCTAGGCCGAATTAAAGGTCTCCTTTTCCCGTATCTCCCCTTCCCCACCACGACTTCTATGGGGGCTCCCCGGTTAACGGAACCCTCTCCCTCCTCCATGATGCCTACGGTGGCCCTAGCATCAATCCCTAACTCCTTTGCCACTCCTGTGGTGTTATAATCTGATCTTTCAGGTCTGCTCCATTCCTTCTCTCTATCATAAACAATTAGCAACAAGAAGAACAAGTGCCAGGGAATGGGTCGTGACATAGATGATAGCTAATTGAGTCCGCTTTAAAGTGCAACAGTTTTAGCAGTTAGCTCTAAGGTGCTAAATAAAGTGCATCATGGAGGGCTTAAAAGTACAATGCTAGATGGGTAGTTAAACAACTAAAGTGCTGAACTCAGTGGCTAGCGATCTAATCGCCACAAGAATAGTAAAGTTAAAGTGCTGGTCAAGATAAAGTGCTAAAGTGCTAAAACACACCAGATAGTTATACACTTCAGTTATTCATCGAACAATCAATTAATGTCTCGCGTCAGCCACATTGAGGGTAGTCAGCACAATCAGTAATGATAACAAAACAGAAGAAGATCAGCGCAACACGGGTGGTTAGCACAACAGGAGATGGTCCACACAATCACGAAGGTCAACAATGGATTAACAATGAATACGGACTCTGGCACTGTCTTAGTTGGTATTTCTTCCGGATTTAAAAGCAATAGCATGAGCGATGACAAAACAATACAAAATGGCAGCCGATGGTCAATCTCATATAATGGTAGCCGATGWTAAATAATGGCAGCTGATGGTAAGTCTCRTAGCAGCAGTTATGTAAAGATTCCCGCCACCCAATAGTGGCCCAATAGTCTAAGATGGAAATAGACGAGCAAAAACAATGGCCTAGTAGTCCTAAGATGGAAACAGCGAATAAAAAGTCTTAAAGGGGACCACTAGGCTCCAGATGGTCAGGTCCTTTCAAGGAGCACTCAGGCGGCAGTGGGCACTGGGGGGGGGGAGGAGGACGCCCAGCCGCTCACGGCCTCCGTCAGGATGGAGCACGGGGCGGCACCCGCCAGCGCCGAGACGCGGAGGAACCAGGCCGCCCCCCGCCGAAGGCACTGGAGACGCCGAAGGCACTGGAGACACTGGAGACGCTAAGACGCTGAGAAGCCAAGCCGCTCCCAGCCGAAGGGGCAGAGGCAGCGTCCCCTGGAATACAGGAGCCACAAAGGATCAACTTCGCAGGAGTAGCTCCAAGCACTGAGTTCTCAAGTTCTCAAGAAGCAGGCAGGATGATAGTAAGGTGCAGCTGGGAGGCAGAGGTTTTAAAGCCTCCTTTCCTGGCTTGCTTATCTCACCAGTGTGGAGGCGAGGCAGCCAGGACGCCGACCCTCTCCTCTTCTTACAGGCCGAATGATAGTAAGTTGCAGCTGGCAGACAGAGGTTTTAAAGCCTCCTTTCCTGGCTTGCTTATCTGGCTTGCTTATCTCACTGATAATCCATTATTACTTGGTTACCTGCACTCATGTATTTTGTTCTTTGTATTTATTTATTTAGAGTATTTATATTCCACCCTTCTCACCCCGCAGGAGACTCAGGGCGGATTACAATGTACATATGCATGGCAGACATTCAATACCATAGACAGACACTCAGACATATATAGACAGACACTCAGAGGCTATTTAACATTTTGATGAGGATATTCTGGCCACCAGGGGAGCTGTCACTTCACTGTCCATTTGTGACACTGATTAAGTACTTCCTCATTCTTTGCATGCTTGCTGGAGATTTTTATGGCCTTGTAAATTAGTTAAATTAGTCCCCTGCATGAGCGGTACCTAAATTTCCTACTTTTATAATTTTTTTTACTGTATTTTATCTTGTGGGGCATTGATTGCCAAATGTAAACTGCCTCTAGTCGCCTCTGGGCTGAGAGAGGCGGTATACAAGTATAGTAAGTAAGTAAGTAAGTAAATACATAAATAATAAATAAAGTGGCATAGGAAAATGGAACGACGACAGTGAGACCAGACAACATTTTTAATAAGGAGACACTATGAATTTATATTTTATTGATTTGTTTAGTTTTTATTATATGTTATGTTTTTAATTGTATTTATGATATTGTAAGCATTGAATTTTACCCTGTCAACCACCTTGAGTCGCCTATGGGCTGAGAAAGGCGGTATACAAATACCGTAAATAAAATAAAATAAAATAAAATAAAATAAAATAAAAGCCTTGTCAGGTGACCTTGGTCAAGTCACCCTCTCAGCTCTAGAGGAAGGCAGTGGCAAGCCTGGTTGGAGTTAGTCTTGATAAGAAAACCTTGTGCTTGCTGAGGCTTCTAACATTTGTCTCTCTTTTTGCAGGAAAAGTTGGCCAGCCCAATTGCCAGTCTGATGAGTATCATTGCCTGAATGGCAAATGCATCCCAGGCACATGGAAATGCAATTCCATGGACGAATGTGGCGACAACTCGGACGAGAAGAACTGCACTATTCCCCCAACAGAGCCACAGTCCAGCATCTGTCCTTCTGGAACTTTCCAATGTAGCGCAGCCCGTTCCACCAAATGTTTATTGAATGAATTGAAATGTAATGCAGTTAAAGACTGCAGCGACGGCTCCGATGAAGAAAATTGCCCCGATCTTTCCTGTGGGAAACGGCTTGGGAACTTCTATGGGTCTTTCGCTTCCCCGGATTTGTTTCGCTCGGATCACAGCCGGGCAGATCTGCGCTGCACGTGGTTCGTGGACACACAAGACAACCGCCACGTCATCCTTCAGCTCGACTTGCAGCTCGGGTACAACGATTACATCAAGGTGTATGACGGCTTAGGGGAGAAAGGGGATAAACTTATGCAAACGCTTTCATATCACAATAACAGGCACTCGGTCAGCCTGGAGTCCTCCAAGGGCCAAATGACGATAGCATATCATGCCCGGTCGAAGAGCACCGGTCACGGCTTCAATGCAACTTACCAGGTAAAAGGCTATTGCCTTCCTTGGGAGCATCCTTGCGGCAACGATGAGGAATGCTACACCGACAAGCAGCGTTGTGATGGATGGTGGCACTGCCCCAATGGCAAAGACGAAGACGATTGCCCCGCCTGCCAGAAGAACGAATACCCCTGCGAAGGAAACAGCGGGATGTGCTATGCATTACCCGAACGTTGCAACAATCAAAAGAGCTGTCCTGATGGCTCAGATGAGAAGAATTGCTTCACGTGCCAACCTGGCAACTTCCACTGTGGCACCAACCTGTGCATTTTTGAAACGTGGCGCTGCGACGGACAGGAAGATTGCCAGGACGGAAGTGACGAGCACAACTGCCTGGTGACTGTGCCAAGGAAGGTCATCACGGCGGCGCTCATTGGGAGCCTGGTCTGTGGGTTGCTGCTAGTCATTGCCTTGGGATGTGCCTTCAAGCTGTACTCACTGAGAACCAGGGAATACAGGTGGACATTGTTTCTTCTTTACCTTCAGTTAGGTAGGGTTTTTTCCTCTTGGCAAAGGATAGGATGGACTTTTTGAAGTGCAAAAAAGGATTACAAGTGTCTTTTACTATTACTTTTAAGAAAATACCATACCTAGTGATGGTTAAAATAGCTAATGAAATTCT